TTAAGAATCTTCCTCTCCGCTAGTTCTGAGGCTGTGACAGCCTTAGGTCCCGTGATCCATGTTGCGAGTGACTGCCCTGAAGTCTGGCGAATTCGTTTATCCACACTTGGTTGTGTGAAGCGGCAACCACTGTGAGAATACGCTGTGGCTACACATTGTGCTTGACGCCTGCGGTCACCAACCGACTAAAGATATCGGGCTTGATCTTCATAAATTGTGTTTTGCAACACACTTATCGGTAGGGCGACGGCAGCAGGCTGTTTAAAGGGTAAACGTTCCTCCTCGCGTTCCACAAATGAAGGTGCGATGCGCGTGGTGTCGTGCGCCGTTGGCTTAACTGGAGGAGGTCATAGATACTCGACGCGGCAATGCTAACCTCATAGTCTACCATTCACTTTTCGATAAATTTCTCAAAGGTATTAAAAGAAGGCAGATACGACAAAGCCTACTTCCAATACCCTTGAGGAATTCATCGAAAAGTTTATGGTACTCTATATCTACCATACCCTTTTCGATAAATTCCTCATGGGTATTGGAAGAAGGCTTTGACGCAGTAACAATGATTAGTGTTGTAAACACGATGTCAGGAACAAAGCTTTGGTACCTTAAAGAGCAGCAGGATAATTTTTGGCTTAAGGGTGTCGACAGTTTGGTGGGGGGTGTAACGGAATTACACGCGATCATTATATTGGTTATGTTCTGCGTCCACTCCACACCAATTAGAGATCGGTTGATCTGAGTAGTACTGTATTAATACCACATACTTACGGTAATACTGCACCTTATCGGGAAGGGATAACGATTAATTTTTATGTCATAGGATGCAATGTACAAGTCAGCCAGAAAATGTTTTAGGGTTTTATTACCGTGGTTAAATAATAAATCAAATTTAGTTCCTACTTTGAGTCGTTAAACACAAGTGCCTAGTAAAGGCGTAGTGTGTTGTTAAAAGTATTAGACTTGTAAAGGCACTAATTATTGCTTTACTAATAGTGACTAGTTAGTGTGTGATTCTGTGAATCGTAATCCCTTTGAAACCGGGATGGTCAATCTTGCACGGTTGAACGACTGTACATCGTTGATAGTTTGTTATAGCTAAGAGACAATTTGAGTGTAAGACTTCGTCTGTTAAGGAGGGCTAAGTATATCAGCTACTCAAAGGTTTGGATACCTTATTCGAAGTTCCCCCATCATAGTTACGCACTTCCATTACAATTCAATGATTGTCGGTCTAATCCCCTTGACGACCGACATAAGGTCTTTACAAAATGCATGACACGTAAACCTCACTATTTTCACCCGGTAACGATGGTACCGCTGAGCTTGGCCTCTTAAAGAAGTATAAAATCTCTGACATCAATATTCGGGGGCCCTAGACGGGATGTCCTCTAAATAATCCATTAAGTAGTGTCCATTCAGTTGGGGATGTGTTTAGGCCTCGCTGAAGCGGGCAGAGGTCGGTCGTTGAATACGGAATGTACCCGCTACTTCTACAGAATAAAAGACATGTCCGATTTGGTGACTGACTAACCTGTCAGTATCTGTAATGTCCAAGACAACCCCACATCGTGCGTGTCTTGTTAATAGTGCCACTAGCTCATCGACGCCATCGCTTTTTAGTGATGTGTTGACTGTTAGTTGCAACGCATAAAGAGCGACTCGTGAGTTTTAACCGCAAGCATACGATGAATGAAAATTTTAGCATGATGGTTTTAATGCGACGACCTCACTATAACGCAGAGGCACTGGGCGACTCGACTTTTTCGCTCTAATATCTTTCTATGCGTAATTTACCTGCGTTACAATTGGTCATTGCTGGTCAGTTATTTATCGGACTACAGTTACGATCTACAAAATGGGACCTCATCCGACCACTCGAACAGATGCAGTAAATATTACTTCTGTAGTTATTGCAGGCCAAATAAAGATGCGCATTTCAATAAGCTAAATGAACAAAGCTTATCTATGGAAAAATTATCGCTAGGTTCTGGATTTCTATAACGTGTTCATAAATGCGCCGTACGCTGTGTCAATTTATCGAGAACATCCTGCTGCTTCGTCTGAAAGATGCATTTAAAGAGAGGCGCATTACGAACGCGCGATATAATTTTTTTTCCCACTTTAGATAGAAAAAATCGGGTTCGACCGACGACGTACTTGCGAACGCAGTCGCCAGACCGCCACAAAACGCACTCACACCATTTGATCAATCGCCCTGCGAGATTACTTATTCCTCGTCGAAACGTATTTACAATGTGCTCGTCAATAACGACGCGCAACTCTTCGTCTTCGACGTACGTTTTGCATAGCAGCCTGTGGTTCGATTCGACCTCGTCATTCTACTTCTCCATCTATTTTTTTGCAAGATACTCACGGTGCGACGTCAAAACTTTTTCGACTAACATGTGCCGCGAAAGCTTGACGATCTGCGCAGGCAGTACCGGCGGAGAATCCTGCGCGCGGGGCAAATTGTTGGCGTTGTGCTCTGCTCGCACGCTATGTAGACCGAGCACCAAGGTCATTGGGTAGGTAGCAACCTTGCGTACGACGCCTATCTTCTCGTCGTCACTCAGCGCCGTTATCAGCTACTTATGCCACGAGCCTCGGTCCTCAATGTGATCGAAAAGTCTGCATAGGCGATGCACATACCACCTTTAGCATAATATCCGTCCATCGACCCTATCGGTTTAGACTATGCTGAGAATCGCGAGAACGATCCAATTAAATTTCCAATGTGCTCTTCCTACTGCTAGACTAGAGCGTCTCCTTCTGCAGCACTACTGTTTTCTTGTTCACACGCTGATGGTAGGAGACACAGCGTACGTCATGATCCACCAGAACAGAGACGTAGTAAGGAACTTCTGATGATCAGCCGCGAAGTTGATTAGTCTTACCAATATGTGATGAAAATTATCAGCCCGATGACACACTGGACCTAGCCAGTAGTCAGCTCGGGAACTCGACAGTCACTCGGTGATCAAGGTGTTCTGAGCACGCAGGACGACGCTGAACGCATACGTTCTGACAAACCATTCGCCTCGGAATACATTGGCAGACGAGTGGTTCGCTTTTAAATAAATTTTATGAGGCGCGCAACGAATGCGGAGGACTGGATGATCAGCTGAAGCGCACAATAGAGTGATCAAGCCGGCATGGCGATTAATCCATTGGTTCTAGCCGTTTGAAGCGACAAAATCAATTTGCGTCGCCGACATTCGTACAACGCATCCATAAACTTGCGAAACGCATACAAACATAATCTGCTATGTATGCCTATCAAAAATGATGATGGCGACGAGGTTTTAGTTGACCAGAACGCCGCGGTAGCAATATCGCAAACGCATGTAAAGAATCGACTTGCCGCAATGCGTGCTGCTATTTCACGCGAACGGAAAAAAAATTGCTGGTTGAGTCGCCCGTATAGTCCGCAATTCATTGCAAATGTGGCGTGACAAGGGCGAAAATTAACTGGCCAAAATTTAAACTGTAACGGGGCACCCTGAAGCTTGTACTGGTGACAGTACAAGCTACTTATTCTGATGACAGAATAAGGCGGTGCCTCGTAACTTCACGTACACTCGTACGTGCAGAGGAAGACGGTAAGAAGAAGCGAGTACTCGGTTAGAGTAAAAAGTAGAACTGTATTTATAATAGTTAATGTCTGCAATAAATCACTATTTATCTTCATCTAACTATGTCTAAATACAAATGTGTAAATTAGTTATCTGCTCACCACTCATTGCGTGCGTCTGTCGTGGCGCGTCTTCGTTGGTTGATATAATGGCCTATATCAACCAATTAGGAACAACTCGTAATTGCTACAGAATATTTGTCCTTATGACAATATTCCGAGAATATAACTCTTATAGTTATATTCTATTAACAATTTCTTATAAATTGTTATGTAACGATTCACCCCGTTACATCACCCCCCCTTAACCATCAGTCACTTTAGTGACTGATTGACTAAATGGATACTCGTCCCAAATCATTTGGGACAGGGTTTGCACTTGTTGGTCCGCGTCCACTTTCCAACATTTCATCGCATGGTAAACAAGCCCATGCGATGCGCGAGCAAGGCCGCCGAGAGCGCGTCTGCACGTCTCTGTGCGGACGCCGAAGCAGAAACCACAGCAACTGATGTCTCATCGGTTGCTGAAGCGACTCAGCCTGTGTCACCTGGTGATGCAGGCGCTGGTCATGAAGACACTCATGTCTTCACAGAGTATGAGCTCGGTGTCTCATACTCTCCTGATACGGAAGACGGATCCGTATCGACGGCGATCGAATCTAAGCCGCCTGCCAAACGTGGCATGGATGATGCTATGCGTCGTAGCATCTTTGGTTCATCTGATGAATCAGATGAACCATCGCCGAAGCGAAGGCGCTCGAGGTCGCGAGACTCGGGCGCTAACAGTGGTGCCGGTTCTCCTATGGACACCACTTCACAGTGAGGTGCCAGTACTTCTGTCGGCACGTCGCAGGAAGAGCGGGACCGCAATGTGTTGCGTCTCGCTCCTGAGAAGAAGGCATGGATGCCTCCTAAATCAGTCATGGATCACTTGTCGGCGACGACGAGTGATCGTTATCGAACACGATTGTTCGATTCGTCAAGGATCCATCACCTTGACCCCAGTGCGAAAAACTATCGCGCTGAACATGAATTCTTCATCGATGCTTTCTTCAAACATCGATGGTACAGTGGGAATCACAAACGTGATGGTCCCTCACTGCTTCAAGCGTGGAACGCCTACATCCATAACCTCGATGATGTAGGTCGTGACGCTTGGAACGACAAACTTATCAAAGCTCGTGATAAGTTTAAAAAGCGAACCCCGACAGGTGCACGCTACAAGCTGCATCGTCTGTCAAGGGAGAAAGGATTACCCTGCCTCTCTTGGGGAGACTCGTGCCCATGTTGTGTGAACAACTCTGCACGAGCACCTAAGGAGGCTTACCTCCTTACCAGCCCGTGGTGGCGCGTACGTGTCTCTACTGAGATGTACGAAGGGATTGACAACCTGAAATCCCTTTACGACCGTGCCGGGAAGACTTTCTCCGGCGGTCCTTCTGCGGCACAGGATGTGCCGCGTCGTACTGCTCAACCAGACCCAGTACGTCGATCATCAGTTGGGAGCGGGGCTCCCAAGAATCCCAGGACGGGGGATAGCCGCGCCACCGGACGAGATAACTCGTCCGACGTCCGTTCACGTCGCGGTGGTTCAACAGCTGCTCAACTAGATAGCACTGGCCACCGCGAGAGTCCTCTAATGGAGGTGGAGGAGGAGGAAAGACGCTCTCCACACGATCATGTGGATCGGTGTGTTCCCGAGAGCTTCTTTGATCGCGTAACGCAAGGGTTACGCGACGATCTCGAACATGAGCGGAATAGGCGTCTCCAAATGGCGGACAATGCCTCGAAGCATCGAGCTGAGTTTGCCTTTGCTCAGCTCGAGAACGAGAGATCTCTGACATCTCTTCGTGACGAGCTAAGGGTAGCTCGTGGGATTGTTGATCGGTCTCGGGCTGAGATAACTGCTCTTCAGACCCTTGTTGATGCCCACCATCGGGAGCACAAGGCTCTCTGCGAGATGCTTGAGCGCAAGGGCGTTCTTCATCGGAAGAAGCAGCGTACTGATGGTACGGCTTAAGCCGACCAACGTAAAACGTGGGATGCGTTCGCATCTTACGTGGTAATTCGATCGTGTATGCATTGCCTAGGCGGTGCAATACACGAAATGGGCCGATGTACTTGGGTAGTAGTTTACTGCTACCCAAGTTAGTCACTACATGCTTTGGTAGATTAACCGTAGACAGTAGGACTAAGTCACTTTTATCAAATAAAAGAGTGTTTGCCCTTCCATTCTTGTCAGCGTTTTGCTTTTGCTTATCCACCGCTTCGGCGATGGAGTCTTGCACAAAACGGACTACCGTTTCACGAGCCAGTATGAACTCATCTGATGACTCGTTAGCTTCAGTGTGCTGTGAGCGCACTGCAGCAACATCAACCTTTTCTTCAGTGAGGGCTTCCGCACTCTCACTGGGATCATCTTCTTCAGTGAGGGCTTCCGCACTCTCACTGGCATCATATTCTTCGATATCGATGTTATCGATATCGGCATCAAACGCAATGACTTCTTCGTCAGAGCGTGATGAGCGTGAACCAAATCGGTTTTTGCTCGCGCGAGTCCCTCCCCCCTTAAACCAGAGTTACACTCTAGTAAGGTGGGTACACGCGGATGGCGCAAGCCATTCACGTAAAACGGTGTATGTGTCGCGGACGCATGCACCGAGTTGTTAATGGCAAACTCTACCATTGGCAAAAAACTCACTCCAACTCTTAAAGGAGTGTACGTATCCTCGAAGTATCTCTTCAAGGACACGATTGGCACGTTCCGTCTGACCATCTGACTCTGGATGATCAGATGTTGACATCTTCAAGCGCGTTCCGAGTGATTTGAACACGGAACGCCAGAAATCAGCAGTGAATCGTGGATCTCTGTCTGATACGAGTTCACGGGGCAACCCATGAAGTCGGAAGATGGTGTCAATAAAGACACAAGCACAGCCACTTGCCGTGATTGTCTCTGGTACAGCCACAAGGTGTACCATTTTGCTGTAATTGTCAACAAATACGAGAATACCCGTGTTCCCGCGTGCGTCTTTGGGTAACCCGAAGACAAAATCCATTGAGATGGATTCCCAGCACTCAGCCGGAACCGGTAGAGGCTGTAAAGGTGCACGCAGTGAAGGACTTGACTTCACTCGTTGGCAGACTTCGCATGCGCGAACATACTTTCGCACAAACTGATACTGGCGGGGCCAGTAAAAGTCTCGACTTACCGTGAGATATGTTTTCTCTCGGCCACGATGTCCTCCTATAGGAGCATCGTGATACTCGAACATGATCCGCAAACGCAGATCAGTATCATCTGGAATGACAACACGTGGTGTGTCACCAGAAACGGCTGTATAATACAGTAAACCGTTACGAGTAGTGTATCGATCTGATGCAGATCGATACGCAGGCGACAATCGTTTCAACGATTCTCGGGATGGTTGGGAGAGATGTGTCAACAACTTCACAATCTCACCATCTTTGGCGTATGCCCGCCTCACATCATCATACAACGTTGTAGATGGGACTGAGGACGTCATAACCGCAACAGTGACTGTCTCACTGTTGACTTTCACGACTGTTTCAAAGTCGGGACGACGTGAGAGTGCATCAGCGACGACATTAAGTCGTCCTGGTTTGTACTCGACCGTAACGTTGTATTCCGCAAAGAATGACAAGCACCGCGCCATTCGTTGTGAAAGGTGCGGGCTGTTCACTGCCGTGCGTAATGACGCATGGTCAGTGTAAACAACGAAGGGTCTATCTCCTAATAGATAGACTCTGAACTTCGCGAGTGCATACTTCATGGCAAGGAGTTCCTTGTCATGCACTGGATAGTTCCGCTCAGCTGGTTGCATCTGACGCGACTGATAGCAGACGACGCGTTCAACGCCTTCAAGATCGTACTGCATTAATGCACAGCCGATTGCGAAATCGCTGGCATCAAAGACCACATGAAATGGCCTGTCCTGATCGGCTATTGCTAGGACTGGGGATTGTATCAAGCTCTGCTTGATACCATCAAAGGAGCGCTGACATTCAGCGTTCCATAACTACCTCTCGTTCTTTTTCAACAAACGAGAGAGGTGCACAGTCATCTCGGCGTAATTGCGTGAATACTTATGCAAATACGCCGCTAGCCCAAGGAATTTTCGAAGACCTTTGACATCGACCGGCACAGGCCAGTCGGTGATCGCCTTGATCTTTTCGGGATCAGGACGCACACCGTTCTTACCAACGATGCACCCAAGAAGTGGTATTTCGCTTGCTGCAAATATACACTTCTTGAGGTTTGCATACAATTGATGCTTTCGCATGATTGTAAGAACTTGTCGGACGTGGTACCTGTGAACCTCAACGTCCGACTTTCCATCCATAGCTCGACTATGGATGAATACGTCATCGAAATAACTCGGCGCGAATTCTCGTACTGGTCTCAACAGATGTGTATCACATCTGTTGAACGTGGCAGGGGCATTACTAAGCCCTTGTGGCATTACTAGCCATTCCCAGAGCATGCCGCTAGGCGTGCTAACTGCGGTATAGGGTATATCCCGTTCCCGCATAAGGATTTGATAGAAGCCATCCATCAAATCCATGAACGAAAAGATGGTACTTTTTGACATACCATCAATGATTACGTCCTTCCTCGGTATCGGCGTCTGAGCCGGTACCGTTGCAGCATTCAACTTGTTAAATGCATGCACTATCCGCCACCCTCCTGTTGCTTTTCGCACACAGAAGGTCGGAGAGCTATGTGGGGAAGTTGATTCCCTCACATGGCCCGCAGCTAAACGATCGGCAAAGAACTTGTCGATCGCAAGTACTTGTTCACGAGGCAGTGGCCACTGCTTCATGACACAGTACTTCGAGCCTGGTTTAAGCTCGACCTCGTGTCGAATACCTTTATCCTTCGGTAATTCGCACGGAACAGTTTCAGGGAATACATCCTTGAATTCAACCAAATCTTCATAGAGAGGATTTTTCTTGAGCGATTCCCATGATTGGGAGTCATATCGCTCAATTCGTGTCTTTTCATCTAGGACACTCTCGTCCATAGATGAACTACTGAGAACTCTCTCGTTCTCAGTGAACACTGTTGCTGACCTTATGTAGGTTACACACTCGTCGTCAGCGACGAGTATGCAGATCTGCTTGACTTTGCCACTACGCAGATCACGCAAGAACACTTATGTTCGAGCGTTGGCAACTGAGTGATCTCCGAAGTCAACGTCGGAGGCGCAATCAGATCAAGTGTATAAGCGCCTACACTTGATCCGTTATTGACTATGACATTCAATGTCTCTGTCATTTCCTGGGGACTTATTCCCTCAGGCTTCGAAGGACTTATTCCTTCGGCTTCCCGGGGACTTATTCCCGCGGGTTTCGGGGAACTTACTTCCGCCGTATTTGTAATCTTGGGACTTATTCCCTTTACTTCCTCTAGCTGGGGTTGCGCAACCACAGCGAGATTCTCTACGAAAGACTCTCCAGTCGATCTAGGATTATCGTTTCGCTTAACCTGAGCGATCGATTGTTTCTCTTCTGGATGTTCCCCGCTAGGGATACATCTTTGTCCCAGTCCACCCGACTTATTCGAGTGGTGGACCTTCGGCGCAGCCTGTGTTTCCTCACAGCCGCCGGAACTTTGCTCCGAAGTGTAACCGTTTGGTACACTAAGGTTTCGTGCAGTCTTACTAACGACCGTACCACAAGTGAGGCCATCGCACTCACTCGTAGTACATCCACACGCTTGTGGACGCTCCAAAACGTTCATGAGATGGCCATCTGATGAACAAGCGGCAGGCACGTTACTGTTCGATGTTGCCAGTTTACCCGTGGTTCGTACCTTCTGAGCCATGGTATTACAAGGATGACATCAAATTTTTCATCCAAATCCAATACGATAAAGTCATCGTCATATTGGGTATCTTCTAGCGTATAGTGGATCTTCACTATACGCTTCATGACGGTTACGGATGCGCCTGTCGCAAGACGTACCGTCATCCTCGTAGGAGGTGTATCACATTCACTGAACTTAAAGTGACCATCTTCTAGCGATTGGCGTCGCACAAAATTGTTGGACGCCCCACAATCGACTAGAGCTCGAAGGGACAACTTATTCGTCACTTCGAGTTTCAAGGTAATGAGTGAGACCTCATTACCTAGAGCAGCAACGCACAACGTTTGTGTGTTGGGAGCAACCTTCATCAAGAGGCCTACAAATTCTCTTGACGTTGCTAGACCAGTAGGGTGCTCCGCACCTACTGATCCTGTCCATTTTTTGACGGTCCATCCCGTTGTTGCGTCTTTGCACCAACTGCGGACCCTCGTCCCTGCCCCTTTCTCATGGGTGGACGGTCACTACGCCCAGTGTCGCGAGACACTGGACGAGGGGCACTACACTCGTAAGCGTAGTGTCCTGTCTTTTGACATCTGTTGCATCTCTGCAACTTCTTGTAGCCTGTAGAGCGGGCCTTCTCGCTCTCTACATAACAGAGTTCCATCGGCTCTGGACCTCCGTTGTCATATCGTCTCGGTTGACGATATGATGTCGAGCTGGCGCGAGCCTGTCTCAGACTGAAGTCTTCCTGCTCCGCAATGGAAATGGCTTGTTATAGTGAATCTAGTTCAAGCCGGAACAGGTGAGTCTTAACGGGACCATCCGCAAGATCCTGCATGAACACCGAAACCAACGTGTGTTCATCCACCGGATTGGAACTTATACAACTCGTAAGATGTCGTATATGTTGGGCGTAAGCGTGCACATCACGCTTACCCTGTTTGAGCTTCAAGAGTTCGGTTCGAGCCCTGAACTCAGCTCTAGGCGGTTCAAACGTTTGTCTGAGCCGCGACTTGAAGACTTCCAACGACCCAAACGCATATGGGTCGTGCAAATTGAGCCCCAGTGCCCAAGTCTTGGCACGTCCTGCCAGATTTGATTGGGCAAATGCAACTTGCATATCCCCGTCGTCGATGCGACGCGCCCTTATGGCGTCATCCAATTCGATGAACCATCTCAAGAGGGAGTCC